GACCCGAGTCAAATGTACCACCTGAATACATTTTTCTGAACTTTACAAACTCAAAGATGTTCTTATATATAATTAGTAATTTAGAAAACAATAACTGTAACTGCTTCCTCCAATGAACCAGGCTAATGTACCTTCTCTGTGGTCTCACACGTGTAAGAGCAATCTTCTAACGATTAGCGTGTTCTTGAAATATGTCAGAATGTTTGATTCTAATAATAAATGTTTCATTCTGGTAGCTAATTACTCCAAAATAAAGACCAAGTGAAAAACATTGCTTCTTTTCTTTGCAAAACAGCAGGACAGAGCACAGGGTAAAATACAAAAGCTCTGGTGGACACTATAGGCACTGTAGCCATTTAGTCGAGTCTAGAAAATATAGCAAGATACTGTAAAATATTCCGCCAACACAGAACGCTGAGTTTAACACCTTTGTTTTTCTATTGTAACGTCAATAGAGACAAGGGATCACCAAATTTTATTAAAATCCTTCCAACAAAATTAAAAAAAGAAATCACCAAAGTGATTTTGAGATTAATCCAATTAAATTAATCATTCTGATGTTTGCATTTTGTGACAATCAATTGTTTGAGATAGAAATGAACTCCTCAAGTCCTTACTTTTATTGTGCACAAAGTATTTGTCTTCGGGTCCATCTTTTGACTTCTTAAAGTAGAGCTTCCCACTTTCAATGTCCACTTTCAGGAACATCTTTGTGGAAATACCAAGAGATTCTTGTTTGACCTACCAGTGAAAGAAGAAATCGATCAAATAAACCATACACACGTATGACAAATGTTATGTAGACATAAGTACTAAAGAAAGCACCTCAAACGTAACGACTGGTATGAGAGATTTCCGTGGGCCCGCATCAAATCCAACATACTCAAAAACAGAACCTTTAACCTGAAAAAAGGAAGCAGAGTCGTCCTTTGTAATATCTTATAACATTTTCTATTATCATATAAAAAGCTGTTGTTAAAACATATTACAGTACTTTACCTTATCTTCTATCGAGTAGAGCAGTTTTGTTAGTTGCTCAAGTCTACAGGACACAGGACCCGAATCACAGAAATTCTGAAAATAAGGAGGAAATACATGAAGAGAACAGCTTTTTAAGCGCTGATAATACTGCAAAGGATTATGGGTGCCACCAACTTGTTTTGGTCCAATCCCTGGAGAGAGCTGTTGGTCGAGCGTTCTGTGAAACACCTCCAGAGTTGGCATGACGCGGGAAATTTCACTGCCTCGCAAAAAAGTTCAGCGCGTGGGTCAATCAACCCAATCCATTCAAGTGTATGTAATATTACACATTCCATTAAATGGACACCATACCTGTTTAGGTTCTTGCAGACTGCCATTATAAGCTTCTTGAGGCCAGGCAGGTTAGGGTTACCGTTTTGAACTTGTTCAGCATCTAAGCAGACTGAAGTCCTGAAGTATTCTTGGATGGCCATTTCATGCTCTTCTGGTAAGCTGGAGACATAAGAGAAATGTAAATTAAAACACTTCTAGTCTCAGTTAGCTTCAGGAAAATTCATATTAGTAATTGTTTTGGAAAGTTTGGTGCCGAATGCCTAAATTCTACTTTTATAGTGCTGTTGTAGGTACAAGAGACATTGCAACTGTCTGTAATTGTGACCATACATGGACAAGTCCATATGCTGCAGTTTTGCCAGGTATATGTCTGATAAGGATTTGGAGGCTTGCTCTGAAGTCTTGGAGTCACCGTCCTTTACATCAAGTGGGATGTTTCTGGGTGGGAGCTGTGGAGGATGACTGTTTTGTTCTGCAGAATAGACATAAAGTGTGTTTAGGACAAACAATACTTTCTCATCCATATCAAAACCAATATAGAGACAAAGTGAAGTTTTTGACCTGGCTCCTCTTCTACCTCCTCCTCCCACTGGACAGAGTACTGCAGGTGGGTGACTAAACCCATGTTGGGGCTATAATACGCCTCCACCAGCTCAGGTAGCATTGTGAAGAACCTAATAGGCACTCCTTCAGATGCCTGCAGAGCAGATAACAGCAAACATTTTTTTTAATCACTCTTTGTAAACAAAAGGATGAATTTTGTTGTTGTTACCAAAGCAGATGACATAACCTGTAAGTGTTACTTCCCATATGATGTCAGACCTGTCTACTGTCTGCGGTATTTTCCAGTTGCATTCTAAGACATTCCTTTGTAATTTTGCAATTTATTTCATTTAAAAGAACATATTATTACCCATAAATCATCAGCTATTTTAAGGAAGTAAACATATCCCTGCTCTGTCATAAGAATTAAATCGTACACTTAAACCATTAACAGAAATAGGTTTTAAAAACTATAGTCCCTTAAATAGGGTTGGTTTCTCTATATAGCTACATTGCATTTAGTCTCTTGTGCGGCTCGTAAAACTCAATTGTGAAACTTGCAGTCATTGGGCAGTTACATTATTTTAAAGCACTTTCTTTAAACTAAACTGCACAGGTGTACATTATTACCTCATCTAACAAGTTTTTAAAAGCACGAAATGGTCACATTTTACCTGGCACGTTAGAAGGTAACAGTGCTGACTTATCGTTTCCTAGAAACCTGACACGTTGCTACTTCATACCAGTAAACTTATTTCAGGACTCAGCACATTTTGCTGTTACAGAATTTCTATCTAAGGCCACGGGTTTGCATAGCAATTATACATAGCTGTTATGTCAGTGCATAAATCAGTCATTTAGAAGCTCTCTAGCATTTTCACCTTTTTTTTTATAATTACAGTATTTAAAAAAAACATACAGATGATACTCTGTTCAATCTTTCTGTCAAGCCCAAGGTGTTTATATCCTCTCTGTGGGGCCTGTTAGTTTTCTAATCTCTTCAGACTTACACTGCAAAGCTGACACTGAACAAATACCAAGATAATGAAGCATCTGCTGATCTGCTTCTGATCAGATTGAGTCTTGCTTTTATCATTGCCAACTAATTTACTGCAAAACTCTTAGTTCCTGCTTCAGTTTCTGTACTGGCTCATTGTAGGGTAGTTCGCCAATGGCAGATTAAATACAAATGAGAAGCAGGCATTTGTCATTTGCTGAACCATAAAGTCTCTTTTCTATAGATTTAAAAATCATAGTAAATAACAGAGGTATTTATGGCTTTTTTAGGGTGATGTTGTTGTGCTCCCAGTCTGTAATCCTAAGTCTGTAAATTTTACATTTTAAGGCTTTTAAATTACTATCAGTGTAGCTTTGTGAGGCAATGATATTTAGTGTATAATAAGAGAATATGTTTTAAACTGCAGCCTTGTAAGCAGCTCTGAGTTACTGAGCTAACAGACAGTTTTGTGCTGAAATCTGTATGCCTGCATGCTAACATTCAACAGAGACTACCTGCTGATGTTTAACATGTCATCTTTATTCTTTTAGTTAATGCTCATACCTCCAAGCTGAAGCTATTAATACTTATTAATACTGGGGGTATTCGATCATCAGATTGAAATTCAACTATAATGATGCATTATTGTGTTTATTAAATTTTATTCTAATCAATCTGATAACTGGAAACGTCACACGTGCGCGCTCATACACCAAAAATACATGCGGCTTCAGATTCTAGTGATCTTGAAAGTCATTTACGCATTCATCTCGCCTGTTGTTAGGATACTTCAGTCTGGGTCAAAGTGGTGGACAGTAAATACATGTGTGGGCTTACATCTTTAATTAGGTTACAACTGAGCATTGCACTAGCAATGTGTGACTAATACTTTTGAAAATATCATTTCATCTTCACAGTACCTATAATAACTCATCTGGGTTCGGACCAGAACGATGGAAACTGTGAACCCACCTGGACAGAGAGCTTCTTGTCTTCATTTGGCAGGATTCTGTATGTGTACACACAGTTCTGATATCTGTGGATCAAATAAATGCAAATGTCTGTGGTTGGAACATGGAATGAATGTAAGGTGAAGAAACAAGCGGATTCAATGTGTTGAGTGAGCAGTTGGAATCATTTTTAAATGAAGGTTACCCAATGGAAGATGATGTGCAGAGGGGAAAGGGTGGTGCTTTGTGGCTGCACTGTATGCAAATAAAAGGGAACTAGTCTTGTGTTGCAGTGTGTATGTGCAAAAAAAGAAAAAAAAATGTAATGTGATATGGTGAGACAGTTTTAGGAACTTTAACTAATAACTGTGTTATAGCTACAGTGCACAAACGATCATGTTTGGAATTGTGTTTCTTGAACAAAATATACAGTTTGACAACCAGATCGTGTCGATTCGATACGATTCACAGCTGGTGCTGCATGTCACGAAGGTTTAATGAAGTAGAAACATGAAGTATATGCAGGCATTTTAGAATCAACCGCGAGCCATAATAAAAAGAAACAATAACTTACAAAACACAGAGGGCATAGGCTCCCTGTATGGATTCACTGTCCCGGATGAGGAAGCTTCCATCTCTTGCTGCTTTGGAAAGTAGATCCTCAGCTTTGGATCGAGTTATATTGCCATGGTACCAAGGTTGATAACTTGGCATCCTGTTTTTCACCCAAGAGCTCGATCTCAGGAGCTTTGCATGTGATCTCAAAAAAAATGATCCCAGCAAAACAAAGTAGACTCAATTTTTCTTTCTGGCTATTTTCATCTTCTCATGGTGCATACTTTTTAGTTCTTTCTTTCACTTGTTCATCCACTGCCTCCGCAAATTGTAAAAGGAAGCTGCTACTAGCTCAGCCCTGAACTTCCTCATTTGTCAAGTTAAAGAGAGGAGGGCCCTAGTGCCTTCACTCGGCCTCTTCTTTAACATAGCCGCACAGCTGTAAAATGGAAATACACACTTTTGTTTGCACAGTAGAAATCTTTATCACCTTACACGAATGATTAACCAGCATACCTAACCTCTTTGGTTTACTTGTTCATGTGAACTTTCAGAAAATAATGAAGTTATACGTAAAAAATTGAGCTACAAGAAGTGAAAAGAGGAAGTAAGAAAGAAAACATGACCATGATGATTTTTAGTAGTTACAGGAAGGGAATTTACTGGATATATTTACTTTAAAACCCACACAGTAAAAAAAGAAAAAAGAAGATAAGGACCTTGATTTGTTTTTCAAACATGATCATTTTGTTCTTTGATAAAAATAAACCAAGGTGCATCATATTCAGCCTGCATACTGCTATTCTTTAAACCACAGATGAACCAAAGGGAGCTCGGGGGTTTTCTACAATATATACATTCAGGAAATACAAGTTAAAGTAGTTGCCATGTTCATGTGATGGACAGGAAGTCTTGCAGAAATAAGGGGAGGAAAATGAGCTGCTCACAAACCACAACATGTCACATGATATGAAAAGAGAACTACATGGTGACAAGTCACTGCTGCCTTCTGTCCCCGCACTTGAAATAGTTTTACCACTTTCACGGCGAACACGTCAACGCCACAGACGCGAAGGACGTGAAATCATACTTTTGCTTTCGGGAGACAGCAGCAGACATGTTGAGTTTCTGCAGTTTTTATGTGAGGGACTGGACATGTCACACAAATGGTGCATTTTTGCTGCAGTGAATTACACAATCATTCGCACATTAAAGTCAGAGCATATTTTTAACATGTTGCATTTTATCAAACTGTAGATAGAACAATAGTTATTAGTTTGTCAAGTAACAGTGCAACAGAAATGCGTAGCATCATAGGAGAGTTAAGAAACTGAAAACCCAAAAATATTTTCACAGTGGAGATTTGTCAATCACATTTAACATATACAGTGACTCATGTCAGGAATTTATAAAAAGCTGTGACTGTGTCCACGTCATTCCTAGCTGAGCTGGAGAAACATAAATACAGGAATTTTTGCATCTATGAAAATGTGATAGCAGGGAAATATCCAACAGCAGTATAATAATGGGCACATTTACACAGTCCACTCTCAATAAAATTGTCACTCCATTGTAGAGTAAATCTGGACTTAATCCAAAGGGCTACAGCCTTAATAGTATCTCTGTGAAGAACAGCGTTGCCTTGAGCTAAATATTAATACTGGCATGCTAACACACAGCTGGAATATGAAGCAAGCAAAGTTTCAAAGTTTGCAGTTCCGCTAGTGACCACATGAGGATCTAAAAGTGTCATTCCCCCATAAAGATCTGCCTTAAAATGTTACTTTACAGTAACTTTAAGTGAACATACGTACAGCATACTACTCCATGCTATTCCTTCTTAATAATAAGTCAGGGGGGACTTTCTTATAACTTCTACTTCTGGTTTTTGGAATCAGAGGTGATTTTCTTAGGTTAGTCATACCAGAGTAAAAGTAGGTTGGAATATTCAGCAGCTCATGACTGACCCAGCAGCAACTGATTGAAAGTATCTGCATCAACAACTTTGGATTGCAAGGCAATCGCAGTTTGTTTTTCTGAGACAATTTCTCTGTGACACATCTTTTTTTTTTTTACAATACAAGATTCAACTGAACTGCTTCTACTTTGGTTCTATTCTTATATAAATTGTGGTTGCATGTTACAGTTAAATCACCATCCTGTAGAAACTACATCACTGTTTGTGGTGGGTTTTCTGAATTCTGAATGCAAGTAGGTAATGTGAATTTCTGTTTGTGCAGTCAAACACACGTGCCATTTTACAACAAACAGATTGCTGACTCGACCTCATTCACTTGCAAACTGTTAGCAAACTGATGTCATCTTAATGCACTAAAATTGCCTTGAAAATGGCAACTGACTGCAACCATTTCAAAGGCAACAGCACCATGCCAATGACTTTGTTCATTAACTTGACTGTAGCATAATACTGGTGATAGGAGTCACTCATCTGAACTTCTGGACTGTGTTCTTTCTTGTTGTTCTTGCTTTTTTTTAGTCTGTTACTTAATTAACACCAATAAGCACTTTTCTGTGCTTGTGGATTTCACCCATACAATTTATGGATGCAGCAAACCAACTTAGCACTTCAACTTCACCTCACACAACAGCAGCCACAGTGCTAATGGTGAGTCTTCAAAATGTGGAGTCTAGAAGCTGGTGAGTGCCTTAGTGGGTATGTCCACCAGCATGCTAACATACAGTGCTAATATTTGAAAGGTATAATGCTTACCTTACCTGTAATGCTTACCCTGTTTAACTTCCTGATTTGGTGCATTAGCATGCTAGCAATGCTAATTAGCATAAACATTTTCCAGATATTTGGCCTGAAACTAAAAATTCAAACAAATGAAAATTTAACTGGATGTTTGTACTTTAGGAGACAACACATGATCACACGAGTTTTTAAAATTCTCACATGGATCGCATCACATTTCACTTATAGTGTTAAACTATGTGCACGCACATTTGATTATCCACAAAGCAAGGACAACCTATGTCACCTTAGATGAAAAAAAAACAACAATATTATCAACTGTGACTGATGCATATTCATCACATTTGGCTTACAGTATAAAAAAACAATAGAAAATATACACTGAAAGTTTACTATGTAAATAATGAATTGCTGTTTTGGATTTCCAACAAGCAGTAGGCGGAACAATTAGTACTCAAGTTTAACCCCCATTAAGTATTATATATGACAGCAGAAGCAATTAAAAACTTTGCATCATTAGTTTTTTGCTTCATCTCCGGAACAAGTGAGTTGTTATGTTGCAACAAACCTTTTCTAAAGATTATTATTAAAACCGTCAGTTGTCAAAAATTATAGCCAAACAAATTCAAATAGCTTAGCTTTTGTACAGAGAGTCCCACATTAGCAGGTATTGGGCACAGTTCTGACTGGTTTGAGAATTGGTTTCTAACATGGACCCAAAAAACTTTTAATGGAAACGACAAGAAGCTTAAACAGAACATCAAAGGCGTCACTAACCAGTACAAATTGTCTGTCTTATGAAACCAGATCTACTACAGTAAAAAACAGGGGATCTGCTGAGCTGAAAGCAAGCCAACAGTACATTTTGAAAACTCATCAAATGTCATATTTACTTCTAATTGCAGTAATTTTGCTTTTAAACATTCTCCATTGCATTAAATTGTTAAAGAAGAATGAGATTTACTCGAGTCTTGTGTGTGTGGGAGTTATTTTGAAGCATTATCTTCATCAACTTTAATTCCAGTGGTCACCAAGATAAACAGTCTGTGCAGAATCAGAAGTTATAACTGATTTAAAAAAGTTTGCTGACTTTGCCCCAAATTTAGGTTTTAAAGATCTTTGTTCCTCTCCTGGAAGTTAAACTTCTACCACCGTCTTTGCTGCTGAATTCAGGATTCTTTGAGTGTCAAAGTGATGTCAGTTTAATTCTCTAAGGATTTGGTGGGAATGGTGTGGGGATGACACTAGAATTGGTTCTCAAACAGCCTTTGGAAACAGCATCAATCAAAGTATCATCAACCTGAAGCTGCTTGTGATGGAAAAGTTTGCACAGGTGTCTGAGTCTAGCTGCTTTTCCTCAGAACTCAGATTTGGCACTCACAGAGCTCTCATGTGTTCCCTTTAACTCTCCGCTGGTGGCCCCTGACATCCCGCCATTATCTTTACAAAACAATCGCCGCAGTGTGCCGCGGAATTTCTCCGCCCCAAACAGGTAGACCAGCGGGTCCATAGCACCATTCAGGCAGGTGAGGGAGGAGGTGAGGCGGTTGGCCAGGCTCAGGCCTCTGCGTGTCTGGCATGAGACGTCTGGGTGGCTGTAGCCCAGGATGAAGGTGGCCCTACTCATATGATAAGGCAGAAAACAGACCACGTAGATGAGCATAACCAGGCCAATGGTGCGCAGGGCCCTTAGCTTGAGCGCCGGCTCCAACCTGGAGCCGCGATGCAAGCTGTGAATGATGAGGAGGTAACAGGAAAGAGTGGCGAGGAAAGGCGGCATGAAGGCGACGGCCAGCGAGATCAGAGCATTGCGTGAGGCCTTCTCCCTGTATAGCTGCAAACACACCGTCATGTTGTCCACCTGTGCAGTCTGATGGGTGACAAGCAGCGGTGCCATGGAGACAGTAACTAGGACCCAAAGAGAGAAGCTGATGATCTGAGCATAGCGAGCGCGACGAATCTTCAGTGACCTCACAGCGTGAACCACAGCCAAGTATCGATCCCCTGCTACACAGGCCAGGAAGTACAGGCTGGCATACATGTTGACATAAAACAAAAAACCCACCACCCGGCAGGGCACCTCGCCCAGGGGCCAGTGGCCTCCTGTAAAGTGGTAGGTGGCCCTGAGCGGGAGGATGATGACGTACGATAAGTCTGCCACAGCCAGATGAATCAGGAAGACGTTAGCTGGAGAAGAAACGCCACGCTGGTGAGAGAAAATCCAGAGAGCCAAACTGTTACCGCTCAGCGCCAGAACAAAAACCACGAGGTAGAACCATCCAAACAGCTGGTTCTCGATCGTGGTCTCCAACACTACACAGCTCTCTGATGACTGATTGGATGGCAGATGCATTGTAGCAGACTCCATTTTGGTGACTGTGGAGACAGAAAATATTATAATTATCATTACCTTTAAACCATTTCTGTAGTATAAGCAGAAGTGCATATATTCAGGACAGTTACGACGGGTCTAATTTTGCGCTGCAGGCTGCAGGGGTGGTCAGATTTCTGACCTGAATTTGAGTACTTTTGATTTTTTTTTTTAAGTTTATACACACACATACACACACACACACAAGACAGCAAAAACAGTCCCAGTAGACTGCATATTCTTTAGATCTTACAATCACCTCTTCCTTAGAAAACCCACCCACTGCTCCATCCAACCCCGCCAAGCTCCAACTGTTCACTCTTTGTATTTTTTGCTCTCTTTTCCCTGTTGCTTTAGCTCACTCTCTACACAGAAACATCACCGGGGCGTGAACAGCAAAGTCTGACTTTAATTAATTTAAGGCAAGGCTTCCTTCACTTTGGTATTTCTATTGGATCCAAAACCAACATTTCTACCGTGTTTAGCTGGGGCTGAACTGTCAACCCACACAAAAGATGTTTCTGTAGCTGATGGAAGGTTCCCAAATGCAAAAAACCCTCCTTAAATTCAGCAAGCCTGTTTGTGAGAGAGTTCACTTTAGAAGCTAAATACATGAAAGGAAGATTTGGAAAGTGAAACAGACTCTGTTTGGTACACCTGTTCAACTGCTCATTAATGCAGTTATCAAATCAACAAATCACATGGCAGGAGCTCAGTGCATTTAGACATGTAGACGTGGTGAAGACAGCCTGTTGAAGTTCAAACTCAGCATCAGAATGGAGGAAGAAAGGTCATTTAAGTGACTTTGATTGGTTGTTGGAGCCTGATGGGATAGACTGAGTATCTCAACTGGTGATCTACTGGGATTTTCCTTCACAAAGGGTTTACAGAGGATGGTCCGAAACACGGAAAATATCCAGTGAGGAGCGTGTTGATGTCAGAGGTCGACATCAACATACAGTTCATACAGACTCACTAAAATCAGACATTAGAAAATTGGAAAACTTTGCTTGGTCTTCCACGTATCAACGGTTCAGGCTGCTGCTGGTGCTGTAACATTGTGGGGAATATTTCCTTGACACACTTTGGGCCTCTTAGTCCCAACTGAGCATCATTTAACCACCACAGCCTGTCTGAGTATTGTTGCTGACCATGCCATACCTTTATGACCACAGTGTGCCATCTTCAGATGGGATAACACAATGTCACAAAGCTCACATCATCTCAAACTGGTTTCTTGAACATGACAGTGATCTCAGTCCAACAGTACAACTTTGGGATGTGATGGAATGGGAGATCATAGAGGCAACTGACAAATCTACAGCAACTGTTTGATGCTGTCATGTCAATATGAACTAAAATCTTTGAGGAGTTTCCAGCACCTTGTTGAATCTATGCCATGAAAAATGAAGGCACTTCTGGAGGCAAAGGGTAGACCTACCTGGTACCATCATGGTGTATCTAATAAAATGATTTCTGCACATGATAGCAAAGAATAAGATATACATTTAAAGATATATGTTTGTTTCCTATTACTTCAAAATAAGAACTTTCTAGACTTGTATATGGAAAAGATCCATATCCAAAGACTATCAATAACATTTCCTGATTGTTTCTGTGTTCTCTTTATGTTTTAGTGCTCATACAGTTATTTTTAGCTCAAAGATATTTTTTAAAAATAGCATAGAATAGAATAGAATTCAACTTTATTGTCATTGCACATGCACAGGTACAGGGCAACGAAATGCAGTTTGCATCCATCCAGAAGTGCTTTAGTGATATAGATATATTACAATATATATTAGCAATAATATAGATATGTGAGCTTATGTGCTTAAACAATGCAGAATAACCACAATGACTCACACACACAAAAAAAACCTGACTGGGCTAAATTTCACTCCCTGACTTTTGGCCCTTTAAGAAGCAGCGTGGCTCTTTTCAGTGGGTGTTGTGGGACCCACATGCCAGGGCATTTCTCAGCCAGGGCTCAGAGTCAGAGCTTTCAGTCCCCCTGAAGAAAGAGAACTGCAGTCCCAGCAGGGATAACAAACCAGAAACGGAGCAGCTGAATGGAAAATCTTCCATAAATGCAGATAATCCTGGAGAGAGACAAAGCTGAAATACGCCTTCATCACGGCGATCTGGATAAGCAGATCTGTGCAGTGAAGAGGAGACTGAGCATCCTGGTATTGGTCCTTTACACACAGCGCTTATGGAAAAGCTGCAGCAGCTGTAATGTGTGAAATCTTCCATTGTCTAATGTGAAACAGGATTAAATGAGCCCACTTCATAGTAAGCAATGATAGAAATTTGTTGAAACAGTGCAATCAGTAAAAGATTGAGCTGTTTGGGTTTGCATGAGCAAAGTGAGAAATTTACAGAAAGGTTTATTTAGTAAATCAACGGCAGAGGCAAGTATTTAGTTTAAGTTATAAAGGAACAAATAATAAAGAGGACTTACTGGACGGGCACTCCTAAAAAGAAAAGTTTTGCTGCTGGAAGACAAAGAGGAGATGATCAGTGCAGGAGCAGGGAGCTGTACGTGAAGACAGCTAGTTCGTCTGCCGCTGTGTGGAAAAACTGGCGCTCTGACATGAGGAATGCTGTCCTATAACCCCCCTATCTCTCTCTCAAGATGTTCTCGGGAATGAGACTGTAGCTCTTTTTGTGTCTCAACAAATTTGATAACAGAAAGGGAGTCCCAATGGGAGCCTTTCGTTTGAACCCTGACCCCACCCTTTCTTTCTCCATCCCCTTCTTTTCAGAGAGCCACTTGTGCGCTTCACAATAGGCTGAGTCAGAATGAGCGGCGCATTTCAGCAGCGGAAAGAAGAATGGCATGCCTCAGTCGCAATGAGTTTTGGGGGTATGGCTCCATGGTAACCAAGGCTAGTTGTGCATTAAGTGCCTTTACCATGAACTCCCAGCCTCCCACTGACAGATAGAAGATGGACTGTGTTATTAATTGTGTTGTTAAAAGTTTATGACTGAAGTCTCCGAGATGATCTTTTGTACATGGCCTGCTCTGTTTTGGAGGGGGCCCCAAGCCCTCACTATAGGAGAGCCAGAGAAAAACAAGCCTTGAGAGGGGGGTGCTTGGAGGAAACAGAGGCCCTTGTTGCTGTCTTGCCTCCTGGGGGCATCTTGAATTGGAATGCCCAAAATAATCAGTCGCATAGCCATCGGACAGATGTGGAGAGGGGACCCACTGACCAAGGGGAGATAATATTTCTTTCATACATGAACTTCACAGCTGTGTTTCAGACACATTGGCCCTTCTTCTCCTCTATATCATCGATATGCAAATGGTATTCTGTAGACTTGAATGAAACCACTATCTGCAGACTGTGGAGAAGCTTTGACATCACTACTCTGTTAATCTACTGCCAATTGCTAATTGGGACAGCCCCCCGCTTTTGTTCGGCTTCTCCACTTTGTCTGTTATTCGTCTTGTTACCCCGAAGCAAAAACATCCCCTTGTGCAAGAGCACAGCATCATAAATTTATCATTCTTCTTACTGCTGGGAGGGTTTAGTCAATAAAACGTGCTTTTTTCTTGCTGATGAAAGAGTTTAATAAAAACAGAGATGCTTTCATTTTAAAGGATAATTCCGTCATTGTATGTAGCTGTGGACAGCCTCCCACAAGTAAACAAACATCTAAGTTTATCAGTTAGACATGACAAATGAAAACAGAAATACATTCAGGCCGATTTAAAACATTTTAAAAGCATCAGTACCAACTTTTTTCATTTGAAGTTAATCAACTCAAGAACAAAAGTAACCTAAAACTAGAAAAATTTGCATTTCCTGCGAAAATGCTGTGTGGATGCCTTAACGCGTAAGATGTCTGCTGAAAAAAGCTGAAAAAGTTGAAATTAAAAAAAAACAACAACAACAACAACAAAACGTTGCCCTGAGCAGGATTTGAACCTGGCCCTTCTGGTCTCATGGCGGCAAAAGGCTGAAAATTTTTCAGAAGAGGTGAATAAGCAGGATTTTGGCAGAAAAGAGGTGAAAATTCTGCTGAAAAGAGTTCAATCAGCAGAATTTCTGCTGAAAAGAGGTTTTTGCTGAAAACAACAGAAAAAACTGAAAATTTTGCTGAAAAGAGTTCAATCAGCAGAATTCTGCTGAAAAGAGGTTTCTGCTGAAAACAGCTGAAAAAGCTGGTATTTGTGCTGAAAAGAGTTTAAAAAGTCTAACTGTTAACTGAAAGAAATGTTGACTGGATTTGAACCCGGGCCTCCCAGTCTGAGAACGGATGCTCATCTCACTGACCTAAAACACAGGTCAACCCGGCAATGAAAATCAGTGAGGCCACTGATAATATGGCAGAAATGGGCAAAAATTATTGCAAAAAAAATTCAATATCTCAAAAAGTATAGAAGTTATGAGCACCAAAAGTCATAGCACCCATTAGCAGAAAGAGCAGAATTTTTAAAGATTTGAACGGAGAAAATCGGCTGAAAACTGAGGGCATCCACACAATAATCGAATGTGTATTTGAACTAACTTTAAACCTATATTGAATTCAATTCAATTCAGTTTTATTTATACAACGCCAAATCACAACAACCGTCACCTCAGTGCACTTTATATTGTAAGGTAAAGACGCTGCAATAATACAGTGAACGTATTAGCTTTGCTATTCATCCATCCATTTGCTATTCATCCATCATACATTTAGCTGCTCCTTTTTTTTTTACAGCTATCCAAAGTTCACCATTTGATCCTTTTCACCTTGCAATGGTTAGTTCCAAAATTTTGTTTGTAATGTTGAGTAACAGCTGAGCCTGTTGGTGATGTGTGTAGGAACTGCTGACAACAGACGGTATAAAAGATGGATGCAATTTCCACATCTGAAAAAGTGAAACCAACGTTGAAAGGTCTTAAACCTGGATTCTCCTTAATGACCACCAGGGGGCCAGATCTGTTGTTGCAAAACGCTTTGCAGTCCTATAGAAGTCGATGAAAAAATAGCTCTCTGCTCTGATCTCTTTAAATACCTCCCTGCTGGGTCTATGGTTTCGCTAACTCATTTTTGGTTAAGTTGGATAAAAACAAAAAGTCTATTGTGTAAATTTTGGTTATACTATAATAGAAAGGAAGATTATGTCTGGCTTCACAATTGTTCATCTCAAGGCTTCAGTATGGGCTCAAATTGTATGGCGTTATTTTTGTGCCACTATTCTGAAAAGCTAAATTTGAGTGAACAAAACTCATTGCTGCGTGCAAAAAATGTATTTCAGTGTTTGCTATGATCCATACACACACACAATAGCAGCCCCTCTTGCTCAGTTTTTGCATTTGCGCTCGCTCGCAATGTGTTGCTTGCGCTCTCAACATTTCCGCCCGTGCGCGTTCCACTGTTTCTATACACCGTTATATTTGTGCCACAAAACCAGCCAATCACAGACTTGGATGCAAAAAAATCTGATTGGCTGTTTTGGTCTCCAATCAGCTTGAAATGACGAAATGCACTATCCCAGAATCCATTTCGTCCAAAAAACGAGGCAGTGGCGGAGGAACACAGAGTGGCGGAGTTTGAAATATTACTCTTTCTGGGTCACAAAATAAACTTTTAAGATATTTTCATGCGAGAATGGTGCTGTGTAAACTTCAAATAGCTGCTCGATTTATCAAGACATTACATATTTGCACAAGTGCTCTAAACGTTTTCGGAGATGCCTGTTACCCACCAGCTGACCAGCTAGAATGGAAAAAGACACAAAGCTGGAGTTATTCTGTCTTTACGCTGTCAACGTGCTGCTGTTGTTTAGCGCAGTTCAAAAAAGCACCCCTCTGACAGGCAAAGCCATCTGTTCTCTGATTGGATAGTTAAATTTGTGATTGACATGACATTGGCCAATCAGATGAAAGGAAGAAAAATAGGGTCAAAATTCGTACTTGTAACTTGAAACTTGAGTGCAGACTTTCTCACGTATTTTTTGGCTAAGTCCACACACAAATCTTTTTTACACACACACAAATCTTTTTTACACACACACAAATCTTTTTTACGCACACACAAATTCTTTTTACACATACAAATCCTGATTTGCAAGTACAAAACTGATTTACAAGTACAAAATATTTATGACCACAATTTGAGCCCATACTTCAGAGCATGACTTCAGAAACCAGTGAGTGATGTCATGTAGTTGTGCATCTTTTAAAAGAAGTGGAAAATTGAGATTCATCAGGGACAATGCAGGGATTCAACATCTTGCCCAAGGATGCTTCGACATGGTGATTGGAGTATTTAGGAAATCGATCCACCAATCTTCTGATCGGTAGAGCTCCTCAATCTCCTAACCCACAGTTTTCCCAAAGAAAGCTCATATTAGTTGTCCCACGATGAGCTTTATTGTACGACAGTGGACAGTTAGAAATGATCACAGGGTTATAGTTAAAAACAAATCAATCATGATAATCACCTTTTAGGTAGTGTTAAGGTTCAAAAATATTGGGGATGGACACCAGAGGAAAAACCCACAATAACAACACTGGTCCGGTCGGGTTGAGTCAAACGATGATTTAATGATCACACACGTGGGAGATGGACACTGTATGCAGACAGTCTCAGATCTCATCTCAAAAAACACATCACCATAGTTTTATGAAATCAGGGTATTAGAACGCCCCCTCATGCGTAGTGACAGGTGTAATACAATCAATGTTGACAATTTTATTTAACACAAAGAATATCATTGTCTTCTTCGCGAGGGCAGACGCTGACTGCCCCCGTCTCCTGGAACCGTCTGTACCCTGCTAAGACACAACATGGCAGCTACAAGGACTCTTTCATTTGTTAAGACCATCAGTGTGTATTGCTCTAAATCAAGTATATAATATTAAATGAATATTGCTGGATCAGCTACTTCTACTTAAAACATATTAAAACATGACTAAGCACAAAATCACCAAGAATAACATCTTATAAGTGCTGTGTAAGCGCGTGCGGCCTTCCAAGCTCAAAGCCTTTGCCCTCCATAGATCAGCCAGACTCGCGCTGGCTGTAGCTTTTAACCTTTAATTACCTTGAGCACAACTCTAGAATAAGCAACAAACTGCAATGTGTATGGAATGATCATGGTTACATCTGCAATGGAAAATCATGTTATTATTCTGGTACCTGTAAGGAAAAAATCAAACTAAAGTTATCACCATCACTGTAATGCAAAGGATAATGTAAGGTCAAAACTTCAATTTATGTTTAATGCAAAGCTGGTTATATACTTCTGATGAACTAATAATGCCATATTAAAATAATGAATGATAATGAGAAAAACATCCCCTCCTTATTCTACAGTAGTTCAACTCGCCAAGACACATTAACTGGGGGGATGTTTTATTTCACAATTTTAACACAGAGTAAAAAATTTGCATCTGTAAAATTGACATAAAGGGAAAATCATTGTGGAGATTAACTTTCGATATACTTTTTGAAGATGGGCTAATTTAAAGGTTGCGTGTGCAACCTAAACACACAAATTGTGAAGTCGCTTTGACACTTGTCCAGCTTTCACTGTGATTTGAAGATTTTCCAGTGTGAGGAAAATTCAACTTTGTAACATTTTTTTGTTTTTTGAGAAACAAAACACTGAA